GAAAGTCTGATAAAAGATGCTTTGCAAAGTCATTTAACAAAGTTTAGCATTTTATTGGATAGTCAACATAGTTTTACTAAGAGAAAACCTTGCCTTACAAATCTTTTGACATTCTTTGAAAAGGTTACTGCTTATGTAAATGTGTAGATAAGTGTGTAGATTTGGTGTATCTGAATTTTCATAAAGCATTTGACGAGGTGCCACATAAAAGGCTTGTGAAAAAATAGTCTCTATAGGCATGGGGAATAAGTTAGCAAATTGGATAGAAGAGTGGCTGGATGGAAGAAAGCAGAGGATTGTTACAAGTGGGGTACCTCAGGGCTCAGTCTTAGGACCTTTGTTCTTTTTTATTTACCCCAATGACAGATGAAGGAATGGTCAATAAATTACATAAATTTGCAAATGATCATAAAGTCTTGGGTGTTGGTAGCTGTGAAAAAGATGCTGCTAATTTACAAAAGGATTTAGATCATATAGTGAGTTGGGTAAATAAATGGCAAATGGGTTTTAATTATAATAAATGTAAGATAATACATGTGGGTTATCATAATTTGAATTATAAATACAATTTAGATGGGAATAACCTTAACAGTGTCATGAAAGAAAGGAATCTTGATGTAATAGTTGATCAGTCTCTTAAGCCATTCAGGCAGTGTGCTGTTGCTAGTGGTAGGGCAAATAGGATTTTAAGTTGTATCTACAGAAATGTTGAATACAAGTCTAATAAGGTTAATCTAATTTCATTGTATTGGTCACTGGTTAGGCCACATTTGGAGTATTGTATTCAGTATTGGGCTTCTTACCTTAGGAAGGGCATTGAATTGTTGGAAAGGGAGGGTTACTAGAATGGTGTCTGGGATGGAGAGGTTGAAATCTCTCAGATTGTTTCTCTTGAAAAAAGAAGAGAGAGAATCTGATTTATGTGTTTAAGATTGTACAGGGAATTGATAGTTTTGGTGCATCATCTTTTTTTCATATTTAACACTGAGAATAGTAGGACTAGGGGACACAAATATAAATTTTGGCAAGGTAGGAGTCATTTTCAGCTAACACAGTCTTATTTTTCTAACAGGGTGTTTGGCTTTTGGAATGTTTTGCTTTCAGTTGTTGTAGAGACAGTAAATTTAAGAGAAAGCTTGATAAGTATATGAATGATAAGGGCTGGGTTTAAGATTTTTTTTTTAAATGTATAATAGTTTTAATTTAGTTTAGAGGATGGAATAGCCGAGATGGACCAATAGGTCCCCTGTTGTCCCAAAACATTATGTTATATTATAATGTAGAGTTTATTTGTGAAATTAAATATAGCCTGATCCAAAAATTTACTTACTAGTCTAAGTTATAATCACTTCAGAGAGGGCTTTGATTTTGAAATGAACTTTTTCTGGTCTGTAATAAATGGTTGCCAATTAGTGAATTACTTTAAAAGTTAATAACAAAATACAAGCCAAGCTGGCAAAAAAAAGGGTTAGAAATGGATTATCATAATGTATTTTTCTATGTAAATATTATACTTAGAGACAAATTTAAAAAATATTAATATGGACCATTGTATACACCATGACTGAATATTCATAATCATACCTGGATTATAAACTGGTAGAAGAATTCCAATGACCCTAAATAGTCACTTGCTAAACACTAAACCCTCTGGCTTTTTGCTAGCTAGATCACTAATTTCAAGCCCTGATATCCAATGTACATTGGTTATTTGTGATTTTTAGCTCCATTGCTTCAGACATCCTCACTTCCATTTCTTTTATCTTGAAAATGCTATCTCAATAATAATATTTGTGAAACTTATTAAAAGCACAATTGTATTTTTTATAAGAAAATGGTGTAGTATATTATAAATTATTCATTTTCTTATCAGAAATTAATTACCTTAGAACATCAAATTGTTGTTTTTCTTTAATTGGACACTCAACGCTTCGCTTTACAGCTTCTTCAGGAGCATTCCACTAAAACACAAACTATAACTGACAGTACAAAGCTTCAAATGGTTTACATAATAAATTATAATTGAATCTACAGTATGCATTTGACATATTTGAATGGTTTGAATAATAAATTCTAATTGAATCCACAGCATGTATTTGACATATCAGTCAGATTTTCTAGGGAAAGTTTATCCAAGCTCCTTATTATCTTAAACATCTGATTTGGTCATATTAGGTAATTTCTAGTTCTCCTAAGCTTCAGAAAAAAAAGTTAAAATCCTTGAGCCTCTCTTCATAGAAATCATTTTTATAGTTTTTAACAAAGCAAAATCTACTTTTATTTTGTTATAGATTTGTTTACCATTCATTTATTATTCCATCTGTTGTTTTGTTGATCTATTAATTTTTAGTCATATTAAAGTGTTAACATAGCTTCCCCTAGTGGTGACATACAGATACGTTTTCTTCAACACCCATCTCACTCGGGCCCAACCTTCTCCTCTCTGGCTCCATTCTATGAAATGAGCTGTTCAGAAAGCCCTCACTTACTGCTAAAGAGGTTATATCGCTTTTCATGGTGTGGTCCTCCATGACCCCTCTCATACCCATGGGCAGAGCCCATATGCAGTTTCTTCAATATGTTCTTCATGATCAATAGATTCTCTCCAGGGATCCTTTGGATCCCTTGGATACTTCTATGTCCCTTCCCTCATCCCTTGTAGACTATCTCCATTGGTGGTTGAACAGAGCCCACACATCAGATGGGGTCACTCTTCATCCTCTGCGATCAGATTTACATCTGTTTATGGGTGTATCCCTTCAGGGCTGGCATGCCTGGATGGATCACCAGGAGGTTTCAGGTCATTGGTTTGTGGATGAGAGTTCTCTTCTCAAACTGGCTAATCGTCGGGCTTTGTATCAGTTTCTTTTTTCTTGCCAGCCACCAGCTGATTATGATTCTTTCCAGCAATCACCAAGGTGGCATCAGGTCCAGGTTCCTAGGTTTCACACTATGAATCTTCTTTTTTTTGGCCCACAAGCATCACGTTCGTTTGTTAGTGTGACATGTACCGGGTGCTTTCCACCTTTAGCCGATTGTCTTTCCCAACTTGATCTAGTTTATCCCACAGAGTGGTCCCTGCATCCTGCCATTTTTTGGTGTGTCTGTCTATATATGGGTATGCCCCATATCGATGCCTTTGCCACCACTCTCAATCACAAATTACCTTGATTTTCGTCCCCAGTTCCACATCCTCAAGCCTTGGCTCTCGATTTGATCAACCAGGATTGGTCTCATCTAGTCCCATTTGTTTAACCTTTCATCCATTTACTTCATCAGATGGTCTCCCTCATCCATGCCACTCCATGCATGGTCCTTCTGATTGCTCATTACTGGCCTGCTCAACCTTGGTTTCCTCGGTTGCTCCACCTACAGGTGGTCCCTTCCATCTCGACCTGCTCCATCAACTCCAGTCACTGGCACTCCATCCCATGCTGTCCATCCTCTGTCTTCATGCCTGGCTTTTGTCAAGTCCTTGGCAAGGAGTTCCAGTTTCTTTTGCAGAGTAGCTTCACATTTACCCCATTCCATTCTTTCTTCTTTGGCCATCTATCAAAGCAAATAGAGCATTTATTGCTCTTGGGCATTGACTCGGGGATTTCCAGGCTTCTCACCCAATGGTTGCCTGTATCTCAGAGTTTCTCACGTGACTCTTTGAGAGGAATTCCTCAGTCTCCTTGATTTCAGGGTTTCAGGCGAAGTTATCCCACACATTAAAATTTTCCCCACTTCTGCAGGGTCTTTGTTTCCCTTATCCTTTCCATTTTGATCCGTTCCTTCTGGCTCCATTGCCCATCAAGGTGTCAATTGCTCCCGGACTGGGACATTGACATGGTTCTTCATGCCCTCACTATACCTCCATTCAAACCTCTGTCTATGTGTTTCCTGTTTCACCTCTTTTTGAAGGCATATTTCCTCCTCCTCCCAGCCTCCAGGTGTCGTAGGTTGGATGTTTTCACCCTCGACATTACCAGGACCTTGTACCATTTCTCCTACCTTATTTTCTATCCGGATTATGCTCTCCTTCCCAAGACCTCTGTGGCTTAATAAGGTAAGTTCTTTTTTTCCCCTATCTGTCTATCCTCTATATCTCATCTCTACCCTTGTCCTGCTCCGGATAGACTCCTCTGTCCTGTCTGTGCCCTCCATTGTTCTAATGCTCTCACGCCTTCCTTCCGGGGTCCTCGTTCCCACCTTTTTATCCCTTGGCAGCCTTCCTCTTCCTGTGATCTTTTCCCAGTTACCCTGACCAGTTGGGTTCGATGTTTGATCCAGTTGGCCTATTCCTCCTTGTCTCCTTCCCAGCATGATCTCTTTCACATTTCCTCACATCAAATCCATCACCTTACCTTCTCCCTTGCCTCTTGTGTTTGTCAGCCATTGGAAGAGATACTATGATCAGACATGTGGACAACTCTGCACGCGTTCATCTCCCACTGCTTATACTACTGTTTATCAGTTTCCTTGGGGTATCACCTGCTGCCTGGGTTATTCTACAGACTTTGGCATGGCTTTGATATGAGGTAAGCCCTCACTAATGCTTTCTTTTCTTTCAGGGGCCCCTGCTTCAACTTCACTTTGGATCCCACTCTTTGGCAAGTGGTGCCTGACCAGGTCTTCTTTCTGTACTTGGAATTGATTCCACTTAGATGGCTATAACCATTTGCAGACATCTTTATATCAAATCCGCACTGTAATCCACGTTGATTCTTATACATTTTCCATGGTTATGTATGTTCAACCTTGAGATGGGGTATTTCACAAGATCACTAGAGTGTAAATTCCTGATGAAAATTGCATCATAATATGCCCATCCCAGACCGTACCACCCATAGACATCATGGGTAAAACAAACGGGGATTACTGCCCGTCCTTGCTATGCCTAGATTGAATAAATCTGTGTGCTCTGCTTTTCTAAATAGGGTTTCATGATCACCCATTGCACTGTCTCAGGTGTTGCAGACTCTCCACCACACTTTTCCCTCCTTTCTTCCAGTGGAGTATGCACTTACCAATTCCAAGCTGCTGGAGTGGTTGACCATGGAGGCAAATATTTATGGTATTGATGTAGTAATTTATGATTTTTTAGTTGTTCAAAAGTATATATAAAAAACTTGAAAAAATTGTTTTTCATATCCTCCACGTGCAAAATTTCTAAAGGCTTAGCCACCTACATCAAGCAGCAATTGAGTACAGAGGTTGTAACAAGAAGAGATAATTGTTTGTTTTAATTTTTTATTTACTCCTCTGTTTTTTAGGAAAAATAACTTTAAGAACTTGTTTCAAAATGGCAATAATCTGTATACATATATAATGTATAGTAATTGAAATGTGACTGTATTTTACAAAATACTAGTTGACTAAAACACAGCAAAGACAACTTACTTTGTACAGACCAAAGGTCACCTTTATGTTATTTGATACGGTAACATGAGGTCTATATAATAAAAATAATAAATGTATAATGTTATGAGATTTAAGCTGTTTCATCTAAACATTTATGTTTCTGTGTTATAATTTATGTTCATTC